GTTCTTGGTGGGCGTCTGCTGTCCTGGTGCCTGGCAGGCCAGGTGTTACCAACAAGGCAATTGGGAACACAGTGTTGCCTCCCGCAGGCCCAGAGCATCCCTGCTTCAGAAAGCCTGGGATGAGGGTTGGGCATTCTCCGTGTTGGAGGCCCACGTAACTATGGTTACAGGTTGGGTACCTGCCCCTCCCTCCTGCCCCTCACTGTAGGACACACACACACACACACACACACACACACACACACACGCCTGATACCGTCTCTCTCGCTTCTGGTGGCGGTTCACTCTCCATCACTGTTTAGCAACTGACTCAGGAGACACAGAAACCGTTTTGTTGTAACACATTCTCTCCCGTGATGACTGCTCAGTTCCATTAGCTCCCGGCGGCCTGAGATGCAGACACGCGGGGCCCGCTCGGACGCCTCCCCGCCTCCGTCTGAAATTGGACGGAAGGCGGCGGGCCCTGGGGGGTGGGGCGAGCGGATTGACTTTCCGCCGGTTTGTTCTCATCTCCATGCGTCTCCCCCTGCATGCCGGCGCACTGCAGACTGCAAATCCGAGGGGAGACGGTCAGCGTGCAAACAGGATAAACAAACATGCTGCTTTGGCGAGGGCGATCTTGTAATCTCGCAGATTTACAGCTCTCCTCGCCGCGGCCCGGCGAGGGGGCATTGCATTTGTGGGAGAAGCCGGGCGAGGTGTTCAGCTTCTCTGGGTTCCCTGGACCAACATTCTGCTCCTCACCCCCATCACCCCTCCCCTCCCCGCCGGAGTCACCTAAGCATCAGCCTGAAAGAGGCGGAGCAGTGCGTCTCCCTGGAAGCGACACGTCTGGACAGGTGTTTTCGTGGGGACGTTTACAGCTGCCAAAGCGAGCCTGCGTGGGGGGCGCTTTTGTCTCCTCCTTCGCAGTTGTTTCTCTGAGATGGAACGTGTTTTTATTTTCCCGGTGGGAGAAGTACCAGGAAAGTGATTGTCAGCCTCCCCTCCTCCCCTCCCACCCGCCTCTCCACGTTTTCTGTCGTGGGGACAGGCTCTGCGGTGTTGGTTTGCACCCGAGGATTCTCCCCTGAGCAAACGGATCACCTTCTCTGTGCCTCTCAGGCCCCGCAGGTTGCTCCTGATCCCCCCAATCCTAATTTATAGGGAGAACCGAACGCGATATTCCCGTGTCTGTCTCCACCCCCACCTCTGGCTCTCCCCGCCATGCCATCCCCACCAGATGGTGAAGGCCAGGGGAGAGGGAGTGAGTGACGTCAGCTCACAGCCTCCCCCCTGCCCCCACCCCCTGCTCCTCCGTCCCAGGTTCTCCTGTCAGTCAAAGGACCCCCTCCCAGGAGCTGCTCAGGCTGAGTGTGGGGGCCTCTCGGCCTTGTCACCTCCCCCTGCCCACATCCGGCCTGCCATCAAGTCTGGTGGCTTCCTCCCTCCGCTCTCTCCATGTGACATGGAGACCCACACTCCCCTGCCCCTCACCAACCTCTCAGATTTCCGGTGGGTCTCCCCACAATGCCAGGCCCGGCAGGGAGCTGGTCTCGGAACACAGTCCCTTCTCAGGAGGGTCACTACAGCAGGGTCATTACTGACTCCCCGCCCCCACCGCCCCACCCCCAGGCCTCACTGTAATAGCGAAGGGATGGGGCAGTGGAGCACATGCCTGCAGACTCTGTTGCTAAGGAAACCACTTCCTTGGTTACTGGCCTGGGTAGCATGTGTCTCGCTGTGTCTGGATCCCGCTGAGTCACGCCCATTCTCCGGGAAGGCGAGGAAGAGAGGATTGGGGAGAGGACAATAGGGTGGGAGGAGGGGAGGGAGGATTGGGGAGAGGACAATAGGGTGGGGAACGGGGAGGGAGGATTGGGGAGAGGACAATAGGGTCGAGGGGGAGGGAGGATTGGGGAGAGGACAATAGGGTGGGAGGGGGGAGGAAGGAGGGGGGAGAGGACAATAGGGTGGGAGGGGGGAGGGAGGATTGGGGAGAGGACAATAGGGTGGGAGGGGGGAGGGAGGATTGGAGAGAGGACAATAGGGTGGGAGGGGGGAGGGAGGATTGGGGAGAGGACAATAGGGCGGGGAGGGGGGGAGGGAGGAAGGGCATGAGCCAGAGGTGGGCAGAGAGACAGGAGCTCGGAGCTCAGGGGGGAGACGTAGTGAGATGCTTGTCCAGCAGAAGCAGGAACCGAGCAAGAGATGATGATGATGAAACGCGGGAGAGGAAAGAGAGAGGAGGACGAGAAAGGAGAGAGGGCTAGGAGCAGCTGGAGGAAATGCATGAGACCTCGAAATGGGAAACAGTGACAGGGAGGCCATGGGAAGGAGCCCAGAGGGAGGGGGGAGGAGTGGGGGGAGAGCAGAGCAATGTGTGCGGGAAGCGGGGAGGGGACTGAGGCTGGGCCTCTGGGGGGTCAGGGCTCAGTCTGTGATCAGGACTCCAGCTTCGTGGTGACTCGGGACCCGTCGTCTGAGACCAGTCACACTTAGTTATCCTGGTTCAGGCTCCGGCTGGGGCCAGAGACCCGATGTGAGACGGGGTCAGAGGGCAGCCTGGGGCCCGGGAACCTCACAGAAAGGCTTGCGGAGCTGACACAAGCCCCCCCCCCCCCCCCCCCCGAGGAGCAGGGCCCTCCCTGGATCCTGGAACAGCCCCCCACTCTCCCCTTCCAGACCTCCACCTCCTCCTCCAGTCCGAGGCGCCCCTTCCCCTGCCTGTCCCAGCTGCTGACCGCCCCCCCTCCACCTCCTCCCCGTCCCACCGAGGCCGCTCTGTCTGTGGGGTCCGAGGGCTCGGTCCTCCCCCTGGGGCCCTGGGAGGTTTGAACACGGAGACTCACCGCCCCCTGGGAACGAGGGCCCTTTCCGACTCTTGGACTCTCAAGCGGCTTCCAAGCAGGGGCACTAACACCTCACCCCAGTAACCCTTCCCTCCGTACCCCCGCGCCTCTCCCCATCTCCCCACACCCCCACCCTGTACACACACCCAAGGTCAAAGGCAACGGGGAGAAGACGCCCCTCCACTGGCACCTTCTCGTGCCCAGGTTCACACACACTGGCATTTCCTCCCCTACGTGTGCGGGACTCCACAGGCAGGACTCCCCCCGCCCCCCTCCCCGGGGGTACCGGTGCGGGGGGCACAGCCTCAGGACAGCGGGCCGCTGGCCCCGGGGACAGCGTCACACACACAGGTGCTCCCTCTGTTCCCCACCGGCCGTGCCAGAGTCACCCAGACACTGGCAGGTGTGCACCCCGGGACGTTCTCTCCAACCCAGACACCCCCGAAAACACCCCCTGTGAGCGCGCCGCACACAACACTCGGCCGCGGGGTGGAATTCTCAACAAAACTCACTTTTAATGGTGGTGTTGACCTGAGGAATCTTCAGACAGAGGCCTGTGGCCTGAGGGGGCCGCCGGCCGAGAGCTGGGCCAGGCCGCGGGCCCAGAGGCCCCAGAGGCGCTGGCCTGTGGGTGGGAGCGATGGTGGTGGGGGGTGAGAGGTGGGGTGGGGGGGTCCCCCAAAGACTAGAAATGAGCCCGGGGAACGAATGAATCGCGGTACAAAATACATTCAGAGCCCCTGGCTGGGCCCTGGGGTCGCCTGCAGCTGGCAGGAGAGGGCTCAGGGTGAGAATCACAGGTCTGATCCCCTGGCCCCTTCGCTCTGCATGGCCGGCTGCCAAGGGGTGGAATGTATGAGTCCTTTTCCTCTTAAAAAAATATATCTCTGGACGCTCGCCTTCTCTGTGGCCTCCGGGCTATTGGGGAGCGAGCCTGTCCTTGCACCCCGAGGCTTCGGGGGGGAGGGGGGGGGCTGCTGGCGAGGGGGGGTGCTCCGGACAGAGCAGTGATGAGCTGGGACCTATGGCTTTTGTGTCTACGCGGTGGGGGCGGTGCAGAGCGCAGGCGAGGGCTGGTGGGAAGCCACTGGTCTCCACGGCAGGGAAGCAGAGGGATCCTGGATCCGTGCTTTCCAAGATGGAGCATCGGGGACGGGGGGGGTCCCCAGGAATCCTTTGGTTTGCTGTCTCGGCTTCGGGGAGCAGCATTCGCGCGGGAGGGAAGAGCCATGGCGTTCCTGTCATCCCTCGGAGGCTGCACGGGGGACTGTGATGGCGGGAGGCCGATGGTCCGGGGACGGGAGCTGGGCCGCTCCTGGGTCTGGTTCCCCCTGGTTCGGAGCATCCCTGGCTCTCTCGCCTGGAGAGCCAAGGCCCCGTCGGCAGGGGCCAGAGGCAGTGTGAGGTCCACGTGTCGCACCCGTCGCTCTCATTCTTACTCAAGAGTCCGCGTGGGCCCTCGGCCATCCTGGGAGGGGGTGGTAACCTTTGGTGCCTGGAGAACCCTGGACGGGGGACGTGGGATCAGGGACCCTCAGGTCATCTCCGGGGCCCAGTGGGGCAGGGAAGGGCAGAATTTGACCTTGACTCGGTCTTCAGGAGCCGTGTGACCTGGGGGTGGGCTCCTGATGTGGGGACCCCGCCTGGTGGTGCCCGTGAACCTCCTGAGAGCATTGGGGCTCCCCCACCCAGCCAGGATGTCCGAAACTGGACGCCACGGAGAAGCCTCCAGCCGTCCGTCCTTCTTCCCCCCGGGCGGCCCGATGAACCCGGGGCCGCTCGCTGCTGCTCGGTGGAGAGAAGGGCCCAGGGGAGCCCAGCCCCAGAGAGCCGAGCACCGGGGTCACTTTCCCTAGCACCCAGGTCCTCAGCACCCATGGGAGGCACCCAGGAGCCCACCCTCCCAGGGGGAGGACTAGAGTGGTGGGGGTGGGGCCGTGGGAGACAGAAGTCTGTGTGGCTGGGACACCCTCTCCCCCCCAACCCCCATCAGGGGCCTCCTAGGCTGGGAAGGGCAGTGGGCGGGCAGATGGCTGTCCCCTGAGGCTCCTGTGTCATGCAGGACACGCACTGAAGGCCAGCAGCAGCAGCCGAGGGGGCTGTCCCCGGCCAGACGATGGGTTGGGGGGGGGTCCCCAGGGGCCTCGAGGCCCCTCCCCAGCCAGCCCATCATCTGGGGTAGTAGTCCTCGGGCACGCCCGTGAGGTTCCGCCCCCTCAGGGCCGCGTCCACCAGCTTGATGTAGGCCTGGATGGTGCGCTGCATGTCCGCCGTGTAGGGGTCGTACTCCAGCTTGCGCAGCCCCGAGCGCTTGAAGTTGCCGTCCTTCTGGCTCTCCACGCACAGCAGCCGGTCCTCGCGCGCGGCCACGCCCAGCAGGCGCACCATGCGGCCCAGCTGGGCGAACAGGTCCCGCTTCAGGTCCTCGAAGTGCACCACCAGCACCTTCTTGCCGAACTTGAGCCAGTCCAGCGTGTGCGTGGCCCACCACGGCGCGTAGTTCCGCACGAACTCGGGCCACTCTGGGGAAGAGAGGAGGGAGGGGGGTCAGCGGGCGGAGGGCTCCCGGGACCCAGGGCCGAGCGGCCGCCGTCGCTCACAGCGGTACAAACACCTCTCCACTCCTGGTGGATCTCCACACCCTCTCCTCTTTGCTGGGTTTGTAAAGGGACAGGATGGCCGAAACCGGTGTGGCTCAGTGGATAGAGCGTCGGCCTGCGGACTGAAAGGTCCCGGGTTCGATTCCAGTCAAGGGCATGTACCTTGGTTGTGGGCACATCCCCAGTAGGGGGTATGGAAGAGGCAGCTGATCGATGATTCTCTCTCATCAATGTTTCTAACTCTCTATCCCTCTCTCTTCCTCTCTGTAAAAAAAAAAAAGAAATCAATAAAATGTATGAAAAAAAAAAAAAAAAAGAACAGGATGGACTGTCACCAAAATTGGGAAGGTATTTTTGGGATGGTCTGACTTGAAAGGCAAGCTATCACCGAATGCGGGAAATTCCTTGCGGAGCCCTGGAGAGGACCCCAGAGAGCCAGCCAGCCAGCCCCGGGGGTGGCTGAAACCAGAGAGAAGCTGGGTAACGACAGGGGGACCCAAGAGGAGGCTGGGTCAGAGGAAGGGAGGCCAGCCCAGGAGGAGGCTGGGGCAGAGGAAGGGAGGCCAGCCAAGGAGGAGGCTGGGGCAGAGGAAGGGAGGCCAGCCCCAGCTGGAGAGTCACGGGGCAGCCTCTCCGAAACCCTGAAGCCAGACCAAGTGCTTTCCCCGAGGACAATGCCAGCTGCTCCCTCCAGGAGGACATGTTTATTGAAGGAGCGTCAGTCAGTTTCCCCGCTCCCATGCCCTGGTGGGGAGCCCAGCTGGTTCTTCGTAAGAAAATCTGCACCCCTTACTGGGTGACAGATCCCCGCGATCCCAGTTCATCCTAACGACTACCCCGGAAAGAAAGGACCTCCCTTCACCATCACCACTGGGTAAACCGAGGCCCGGGGAGGTGCAGCGACTGGCCCAAGGCCACGCAGCCAGAGAGTCCCATCCAGGCCAGGCCTGCCTGGTTCCAGGCTCTGATCTCACTCTCTCGTTATTCCGAAGGCACCACCAGCCTCGCCCCCACTTCCTCCCGCTGCTCCCACCCAGCAGGGGCTCAGTGATAAATAGTTCCTGAGAGAAGCCGCTGTGATAAAGGACCCCTCTTTGTCTGCAGCTGACACCAGGCCCTGCGTGGGGGGCTCCGACTCCCCTGGAGCTCCCGCTGGCACCCCCCGACGGCTGGGGAAGTGTTTATGCTGGCGAGAAGGATATTCTTTATCCCTACAACAGATTATTTACCACGGATCTGGCTAATTGGGCCTACACTGCTATAATGGGTTGACACCAGATGTATCTGGGTGATTAGAGAAAATTTAGCATGTACATAGTCTGTTTCACTATATATTTTTTTTCTTCTTTTCTTTTAGAATTTCCCCGCTCCCAAGTCACCTCCCAGCATCCCCGGTGACTCAGGACAACGGCTGCTCCCGAAGCAGAAGCCCCTGTGGATGGAGGCAGCGCTCGGGCACCAGGGACAGACAGATCCCAGCTCCGGGCCTGGCCACTCCGACGATCGATCGCCAGCGGCTGCTGGAAGAGGGTTGTCCTCAAGGAAAAGGGCGGGGCGTGGTGGGTGCTCCTGGGATGCAGGTGGGACAGGGGTGGCCTCTTTATTGGCTGCACACCTCCGTGGGACGGGAAAGGAAAGCACCCACTGTGTGTCGGGGCTGTGCAGGGCGGTGCTCGGGCATGACCTCAGGCAGCGCCCATAAGGAGCCCGAAGAGTAGCAATTCCTAGCCCCATCATCCACACAGGGGAGAGAGAGAGAGGAGGCTCAAAGCTCGAAGCCACACAGTGTATCCGAGGCGGGATTCGAACCCACATCCACCTTAAGCCCGGCCTGGCTCCTGCCCTCCTGGCAATCCCTTTGAGCTCCTGATCTTTTCGGCTCAGGCGCTCTTCTCTCCGGATGTGGTCTGTGGTGCCTTCGGAGTCAGACCACCTGCATCCAAAACCCAGCTCCTCTCCACGTTAGCTGTGTGACCTTGGTTGGGGACATTAGTCGATGTCCCTGAGTCTCAGTTTACCCATCTGCGAAATGGTGACTGCGGCCTACGTGCTGGGCGGGTGGAACGGAGCGAGAGTTAACAAGGCCCCGGCACAGGGGCTGGGATACAGGAGAGACATGCTGGCCCCCAGTATCTCTGAGGGGCCTCCAAGGCCCCACCATTTAAGTCAGAGCTTCCCCCCAAGACCAGGCAGTCTCGGCAGCACCTGTATCCACCCCCAAGGCACAGATCCCTCACTTGAAGCTACTTCGTTGGGAAAGGAAAAGAATAATAATTATTATTATTATTATTATTTTTAAAAAGCCTTGATTAGCTCAGGTTTCCAGGAATGGATTGCTGCCTTCAAAGTGGGTAACAAAGGCTCCTTGAGCCACGGACCACTGGCCACGGGGGCCTGGCCACCTGACTCCACCTTCCTGTTGGCGGGAGGAACCGGGGCTGATGACTAGCTTCCCTGGACCCAGCTCCCCGCGGAATCATTAAGCACCGTCCCCCTTCCATTAGGCAGACTCAGGACAATTCACCTTGCGTCATCACAGCACATAAAACTTTGCTTTGGACCCACGCCAGGGACATCGTAAAATTAATGTTATGGAACCAACGGGGGGTGGGGAGCATTACAAGAGCTTCAACCCGGCTACAACCCCGAGGGGACACAGGCCGGGCCTGGTGGACACGCTCAACAGCGGGGTGGCCTCTGCTCTGAGGGGGGTGACCCTCACAGGCGAGGCTGAGGGCGGCATCCTAAAGCAGAGACTCTCAAACTTTCAAGCACCCGCGAAGCTTCTCATGAAAATGCAGATTTGGATCCAGTCAGACTGGGGGACAGGGAAGAGGAGGTTGAGATTTGCTTTTCTAAAAACCCCCCTGTGAAGTCGATGCCACGGGCCCAGAAAGACCTGGAGGGGTCGCTAAAGCACAGGGGGTGGCCGGGCCTCTCCAGAGTTCTGACTCAGCGGGTCAGGGGCAGAACCTGCGGTTCTAACAGGCTCCCACGTGATACTGACATTGCTGCTGCCGGGCCCGAAGGTGAGGGCCTCAAAAACAGAAATGAGAGAGAGGGTGGGTGGGGGCTGTGGGGCTTGGTCCGTTGGGGAAGGCTCTGGGCCAGAGCTCTGGAGGATCTGGGCCAGGTTTGGGAGGGGAAGCAGCCTCCCCTGCCCCATAATTCCAGACTTACATGGGGACCCCAGAACCCCAACACGAGATGTGCCAAAACCCCCCACTCTCTCACCCCTGAAGCTTCCAGGCTCAGCTGGTCCTGACCATCCCTTCTCTTGCTTTTTTTTTTTTTTTTTAAATATATTTTATTGATTTTTAACAGAGAGAAAGGGAGAGAGATAGAGAGCTAGAAATGTCGATGAGAGAGAAACATCGACCAGCTGCCCCTTGCACACCCCCCACCGGGGATGTGCCTGCAACCAATGTACATGCCCTTGACCAGAATCGAACCTAGGACCTTTCAGTCCGCAGACCAACGCTCTACCACTGAGCCAAACCGGCTTTGGCCCTTCTCTTGCTTTTTAAAACTCCCAGCTGACGGCCCCTTTAACAGGGTCTGTGCCAGGAGAGGAGAAGCTGGGTCAGCAATGCCCCGGGCGAGAAAGAGCCTGGTAGCTGCTGCCTGGGTCAGAACCCAGCTCAGTCTACACCGGGGCCCACGGCCACGTGACTTCCTCCCTTCCAGAGACGGTGTCTCACCTGGGATGCTTATGGCTGCCTTTCTTACCTCCTCGGCGATCAGGTGGCTTAAATGAGATAACGAAGGCTAAGTGCCTGCGCCCCCATGAGCTTCTCAAGCCAGTCCCCCCTTTTCACAGGACCTTGGCAGGCCCCCGCCTCTCTCTGGGCCTCAGTTTCCCCATTAATAAACAGAGGACGAGTCAGGGTTCTCAGTCCCGCCTGAACACTGGAAGCGGCTGGGAGCTTTACAAATGCGGATGCCTGGGTGGCAATGCAGTCCCGGTCCCAGGCGCAGCCTGAGCACGATTTTCCCACAGTTCCTCTGGGGACTCTGATGCGCCGCCGCCGGGCTGAGGACCACCGGGTTCAGGGGTCTCTCAGGTTCCCTCCAGCTCGGCCAGCGGAGGGTCCCTTCCCGGGACCGGCTCCCGCCATTCGCATCTGCCAGACTTTCCCGCCTGGCCCTGACCGGTGCTCCCTGTCCATCATTCTACAAATAAACAATTCTGCGGCCTCTTCGCTCCTGGCAACCACAGGACAAATGTCCCCACCACCTGTCCAGGTTTCCGTCCCCTCGCTGAGAGGGGAAGCAAGGCGGAGAGAGGGACAGATGGGGGAACAGGAACCCAGGTGGGCCAGGCCGGAGGGTTTTCATCAATGACAACAACAATGAGTGTGTGACTGGTGGATGGCCAAGTCGACTACAGCCTGCCAGGCTCCAGTCCTCTCAGGAGGGAGAGCTTTAGGGCGAGGAGCAGGAAGCACCCCCCTGACTTCGGGCTGGAACAGCCTTGTTTCTGGATGAATTTGGGGGGGGGGGGGAAGCTGGCATTTCCAGGGGCTCTAAACTGGGTGATTCCTATCCACAGACATTTCAGTGAATCCACATGGTGGGTGAGCACAGTGGTTAAGAGCAAGGGCCCTGGGGGAAGAGGCCTTGGGATCCAAACCCCAGCTCCTGGGACTTCCCGCAAAGGCGCCTTGGCCTCCCTGAACCGAGCTTGTCCCTTTGTGAAAGGGTTCGTTGTGCGAGAATCGGTGTGATTCTGTTCACCGCCATGGCGCTGTGGGTGGTACCAGACAGGGGCGTTTGAGACCCAGGAGGGTGATGGCAGGTGTTGGGTCAGACGTCAACATTCTCACCACGACCCTGGGCTGCCAGTTTTAAATTGTTTTTTTTTTTTTTTTAATGTCTCATTGAGTTTTAAGACTTCTGTGTAAATTTTTACATCTATTTTTTGCCAATATTTTCTCCCAGCCTGTGGCTTGTATGTCCATTCTCTTGACAGTGTCTTTCACCAAATAGAAGTTTACAATTTTTAACGAAGTACTAGACAGCCATCCAACGAGCCATCTATCCACGCGGCAGCCACCTGCTCACAAGGGCAGAGTGGACTCTCAGGCCCAGGTCATCTTAATGAGTCCGGTGGTGAGGGGCCAGCACTGCCGCTTTCCAGCTGGGCGATCTGGGGGCCAGACCCTTACCCTCTCCGAGCCTCCCAACCCTGAGCTGTTGGGCTTGTTCCTCCAAGTGACCCCTTAGGACCGCCTAGGCCACGCCCTGAGGCCACTTAGCCTCGGACCTTGGTCTGGATTTGGGTCTCCTGACCCTTGAACCTCCACCTCCTCCTCCACTCAATCAAATCACATCAACCTGAGGGTCTCCATCTCCATCATGCCTCATGGATCCCATGTTACAGATGGGATGATCTAAACTCAGGGAGGCGGGGAAGCTTATCCAGGAAGCGACGGGGCTGGGGATTAGAACCCAGGGGCGCCTGGCTCCACAACCAATGTCCCTAACCACTGGACCACCCCAGCCTAACTCCTGGAGGGTGATGCTCAGCAGATGCATGGGATGTGGGAAGAGCACTAGAAGTGGAGGGGCTGGAGTCTCCCACTCCAGGAGACGGCCCTGGCCCCGTGCCCTGCCCGCTGCACCCTGGGACTCCCTCCCCTCCCCCCCCCCCCCCGCACCCCTCCGCTTCCCAGCCGTACCTTTGCCCTTCCAGTGCGCGTGCGCGGCGAAGCCGATGTGGCCGCCGTACTTGCGATTGAACTCGGCCATGAGGGCCTTGTAGGGGTTGCGGATGAGCAGGATGGCGGCGTCGAAGGCCTCGATCTCCTTCTGGCCGCTCTCGTGCGTCTTGATGCAGATGGTCCTCCCGCTGCGCCAGTGGTCCCGCTCGCCTTTGAACCCTTCCCGCGGGGAGCGGGGGTGGGGGTGGGGAGGACACGAGGCAGGTGAGCGGGGAAGGCGAGAAGAAGCCCACCCTGCCCCCTGCTGGGCCTCTGTGGGAGTCTCACACAGTCACGTGTGAAGGGCTTCATTGTAAGCTCATACGTCTTTATTGAGCACCTACTATGTGCCAGGCACTGGGATGGGAATTGGGGAATAAGATGATTTGCAAGGTCTCTGGCTGACTTAGGTATCCTTCTCCTGTATGTCCCTCTACCTTTGTTCACGGCCCTCATTATTATTCATGCATTCGTGTCACTATTGATACGATCGTTGGCATTCCTTGGATGTCTGCCATGGACCCAGTGCTGTGTGTGACACGTGATTTATATATTCCGGGGGGAGGGGTGTGTGCAGAAGGTCTGTACCCGGCAAGTAGGCCATTCCCCCTTCTACACCCTCAACAGGCATCACGACTAGATTAAGGCACTTTTGTTCCTGAAGGAGAACAGAAGCTCAGCATCCTTCTCAACACACCGTTCTAAAGCAAAGGGATTCGCTGGAATGGACACGTGAGATGGAACCTCTCTGGATCCACGAACCAAAGGACCCTCAAGGATGCTTCTACGATTTGTGACATTCTAGGATTCCCTGTAGGCCATCAATGTCCCCAAAGGGAACACGGCTATTGGATCTGTGTGCGTAGCTCAGGGAGGCTGGCCAGTAAATGTCTGTGTGGAGGTACCTGCATGCACGCCATGTTTAAGGAATGCCTGCAGCGATCGAAGCGAAGGGAAGGGGCCGAGCACATAGTAGGTCCCCATACACATGCTCAGCTGAGCTGAGCAGCACACAGTAAAAGGCGCTCTGGAAGGGTAGTCCCACGGCCTCCCAGTGGGCCCTTTCGGAGCCCAGGCAGCCTCCTCACCCTTGTTGTAGAGAGAACCGTCGAAGTAGTAGCTGCCGGTGTAGAAGCCGGTGGCCAGCTCGATGAGGTGGCGGGCCCACGTGTTGCCGGCACCTGGGAAGCTGGCCAGAGCGATGAGCTGCTTGGACTTGGCTGGGAGGAACCTTCTGTCCATGCAGCGGTTGTCTGCAAAGAGCAGGGCATGACCAGGGGGCAGGGGCAGGCGTAGCTTGGGTGTGAGTCCCACCCCTGCCACTTCCTAGCCATGCGACCCGGTGTGCATGATGGAACCTCTTCTGGGCCTCAGTTTCCCCTTCTGTAAAATGGGGGAAATGGCTCCTCCCTCACAGGGTTGATGTGAGTGTTAAAGGACAATGTATGAAAAGGGATTTGCACATAGTAGGGATTCAGTAAGTCAGGAGAGCGAGTTTTCTCTACTGCCTCAGTTTCTCCCTGCCACCATACGTCACCTTTTCCTACTTCCACCCTCTCCTCCAGATTAAACCCCTCGGATGGCGTCCATCTACGTGAGATCCAGTCCAAGTTTCCTGACTTGGTTCCTAAGCCCTATGGGGTCTGGCCCCTGCATCCTTCAAGGCTCATCCCACTCACCTGCTTCCCCTCCCACCTCCCACCTGCCAGTCACCTGGTGTCCCTTCATGTCCTCGCCTGCGCTCTGCGCCTCCCTGACTCAGCACCCAACTCAGCACCCTCAGGCACGCTGTTCCCTCCGCCTTCACTGTCTCCTCCCCGCCCTTGCCAGCCAGACCGATTCTTATCTTCCCACTCTCTGCTGACCCGGCCCCTCCTTCCTTCCTGACTCCCGGGCTAGTGTTAGACTACCGTGTCCATCTCCTTCATGTCGCTTATCACAACTGTCATTCAAAAAGTATTTGTTTAGCAAGAAACCCTGCCTTTGCTGTGACTCCATGACCCCGCAGTGCTTCCCATACTATCTGGCATATAGCAGCGATAATAAATGTTTCTTGGATGGATGGGTGGATGGATGGATGGATGGATGGATGGATAGATGAACGGCCAGATGGATGGGTAAGTAGACGGATGGGTGAAGGGGTGGTTAGACAGATGATGGATAGGTGTGTGGGCAGATGGGCAGATGGCAGATGGATGGGTGGATAGATGAATGCAATGGTAATTGGGTGGGTGGGTGGCTGGGTGGGTGACAAGAACATCGGGATTATAGGGCTATTGTAAGGATTAAATGAAACAATGCATGGAATGCATTGAAGTGCTAAAGCGCTCAAAAGGTGTAGTAATTAATTTTCTCCAGCCCTCAACTTCCACACCTGTACAATGGGTTGGGACAGGTGAGCACCATTCTGATACTCTCCATTCTCTCCCTCTACAGAGACCCCGGGATGCCACGGAAAGTGTGTGTTACAGCCTTGGGGTGCAGCCCCGCCCGGAGCTAAGAAGGCACAGGGGTGATTTCGCCTGCTCCCTACAGATGTGAGGGGAGCTGAGGGAAGGCCCCGAGAGGGGAAGTGAGTTGCCCAGGATCACGCAGTGAGTCTGTGTCGGAGACCCAGCTCTCCCCCTCCCAGCCCGATGCCTTCCCACTCAACGCCACAGTCTCCATTTCAAGAAAAAAGCTACCGAGGGGGTTTGCAGTATGAAGGATAGAGTTGAGGGTCCTTAGAATCCACCCCCTTGCCTCGTCCTCCCTCTGTGGCCCATCCAGAATCTCTAAGCCTGGCCAAGGTCACCAGCCCTGCCCCTGCCCTCCGCCCTCCGCCCCCGCCCGCTGGCCTGCACAGTGTGGCAGTGTGGAGCGGACCGTCCTGGCACCTCTGGGAGGGAGGCCCTGGGAGAGCACCCAGGGTCTCGGGGGGAGGCCTGGCTCACCCTGCACCTGTGTCTGGTACACGATGAAGTAGCTGGGGGTCCCGCAGCTCTCAAACTCCTCCGCGCTGCACTTCTGGGCGCACAGCTGCTCGTCTTCCCTCTCGTGCAGGGGGAAGCGCGTGGTGGGGAAGCCACAGTGGCACTCGGTGCCCGCGAGGGCCGCCAGCGGGTACTCCTGGGGCGGGCGAGGGAGAGGACGAGGGAGAACTCTGTTAAACCCCTGGACATGGAGCAGCCCAAGCCGTCCTGTCTCCACCCCGCTCCCCAACTGGGGATCCTGAGATGTCATGAGTGAACCCCGCTTTTACAACGTCGCCCCATCTGTGTACCTCCTGCACTATGGTATTCTTCCAGCTTTACTGAAGAATTAAACAAAAATAGTATGTCTTGCCAAAACCGGTTTGGCTCAGTGGATAGAGCGTCAGCCTGCGGACTGAAAGGTCCCGGGTTCGATTCCGGTCAAGGGCATGTACCTTGGTTGCGGGCACATCCCCAGTAGGGGGTGTGCAAGAGGCAGCTGATTGATGTCTCTCATCAATCTTTCTATCTCCCTATCCCTCCCTCTTCCTCTCTGTAAAAAATCAATAAAATATATTTTAAAAAATAGTATTTAAGGGGATGTCTCAATACTTGTATATGTGGTGAGCCAATCATCACAATCACGCTAATGAACATACCCGCCACTTCAATGGTGACCATTTTCTTTGTTGTTTCCCTGTTCTTTATTTATCTATTTGTCTCCTTTCAGGCCACTCACTTTTTGGGACTTAAATTTCCCAGAAAACTTTGAACCCCCTCCCAGGGCTTCCATGGTCTCCATGCTATACACGCAAATGCCATGGACACACAACAGTGTGATGAAGTTCTCATTAAGGCCTCCTGCCTGCCAACACTGAGCTCTATGCTGGCAAAAAGGGAGATTAGTTGAGGGCAGAGAGTGTGCAAGACACTCCAGCCCTGAGCTGAGCTTTCTCCCGGAAGAACTGGGAAGAAAACTGAGAAATAAATGCCTTCCTCACAGTGTGCCACCCGCCACGGTCCGTGCCCCCTGGTCTGACGGTGAGACACAGCCCACGCCTCAGAGAAAGCCGCCTGGATCCGTGCCTGCACGCCACAGAGGCTCCTAGAGCCTGCGAGGACCAGGCTGGGCTGGGAGAGCAGCTCCTAATCGCTTTGCTTGTTCAATGGGAAGCGAAGTGGGAGCGACCTGGGATTCGAAGGGCCGGGGGCGGACTGTCCTTTGTCCAATCTGCTTCTACTCAAGCCCCACAGCCCAATTTCCCCAGGAAGCTGGTCCAGGAATAATCCGGTAACGAACCAAAGGTGCTCCTACTTGGCTGGGTCCAGTGAGTTCTATCAGAGTAGCCTGGTCTCCCTTTTAGCAGTGATGGGAACTCCCTCCGTCCCAAAGTAAGACGATCCCTACATCTACCTGGGAGTCTTGCTTTTAGGCCCAGCTCACGCCTGAGTATTCCTCACTATCACGAGAGGAACTGACCCTGTGTAACCCCTACCTCGGGGGGGACAGATGGCAAGGGCACACCTTCTCCCACGTCATGGATCACAGGATCCCTCCCTCGCCAGCCCAGCATCCTGTTCCACCAGCCGTTCCACACTACCCCTCCCCGGGCCCCCCGTCTCACCTTCTCTGTGCAGAAGTCCACGCACTTGTCCACGGACATGTTTGGCATGGCGGCCGTCACGGGCAGGGCCAGGGAGAGGTTGCCGGGCCGGCGGAAGCAGCCTCGGAAGACCGCACTGCCATCTGCAGAGCCAGAGGGAAAAGGGGCGTCAGATCCAGGCTGGGAGAACCACCTTCTGACAGAAGCACTTTTAATTATTTTCATTTTTAAAAATATATATATATATTTTATTGATTTTTTTACAGAGAGGAAGGGAGAGGGATAGAGAATTAGAAACATCGATGAGAGAGAAAGATCGATCAGCAGCCTCTCTGCACACACTCTCTACGGGTGATGTGCCTGCAACCAAGGTACATGCCCTTGACCGGAATCAATCAAACCTGGGATCCTTGAGTCCACCCAGTGCGGAGCACCTGCAGGCTGCAAGGGACTGAGATGTGGGAGTGACTCCCTTTAAAATAACCCCATTTGGAAAGATCCCAATTAGCTGACTGTGAGGAGACTTCCTTCCAAGGAGTGGGTGAGCCTCACCTAATCAGTTGAAGGCCTTGGGGGGGCAAAACCGGTTTCTCAGAGAAGGAATTCTGCCTGGAGAAGGCAGCATTAGCTCCTGCCTGCACTGCCAGCCTGCTGGTCTGCCCTGCAGTGTTCGGATTGGCCAGCTTCCTTAAATAAACATAAACACCTCTACCATCTAGCCCTCTGTCTGTCCGTGTGTCTTTCCACCTACCTAACCTCCTCCTGGTTCTGTTGCCATGGAGAGCTCTTGACGGATAAGAAGTAGGATTCTAGGCAATTTTTATTCCCATCTCTTTGTAAAACTTTTCTATTTTTTTTTCTACACCGAATACGTATATTTTAATATCATAAAGACAAAAAAAAAAAAGTGGCCCCAAATTTATTGGAAGATTCACGAGGCCCATTTAAAACTGGGCTCGGTTGTTTTCAGAAAGCCCCATACCTTTCCAGAAGCATAGCTTTCGCATAAAACAAGGGTTGGTGCAGGGTGCGTGTCATTCGTGCCAAGGATGCTACACACACTGTATCTGAGTGAATCCTCAATGCAGCCTGTGAGGCAGGGACACTACGATCCTGCTTTGCAGGCGGAGACTCTGACATGTGACAAGACTCGATCACTTTCCCAAGTCTCGCCACGAGGGAGGAACAGAGCTGGGCTGTGACCCCAAACTTGTCTGACATCACACCCCCTTTTCCACATCTCCGCTGTTCTGCGGGAGGCCTGCCGCTTCTCACGTGGTGGAGCTCCGGGGATCCCGTGGTGACCCCATGCGTTCCCCAGAAACCCTCTCACGCCCCACCGCAGGGGCCCTGAGGATCACCAGGGCCCACACCCCCCATTCCCACAGAGTCAGCTCCTCGCTGCCAGGCTAGCTGAGACGGAGTGTTACCTCCGAGTCTTGGGGTGGAGTGGGGGGGCGGTTATGAGCGAGGGGCGGGCAGAGCAACCGTGCAGCCGCTCTCTTTGCTGGGGGCAGACGAAGTCACAGCCCGGAACCAGCTGCAAGTGCCTCTGAAATCCCGTTATCTTTTTGTTCTGGGGCTTCACAAAAAAAAAAAAAAATGAAGTAAATGTCGTCCCGTTGGCTTAAAGGCGGGCATGGAAGAGTACTCCTTGGTTTGAAAGAGGCTAACACCTCCCTGCAAACCCTCTCCCCCGCCCCCCTGTAATTAGGCCAAGCTCCACTGCATTAAAGATGCAGGCAGGGAAGGGAGGCAGGAGCTGGGAGCCGAGCTGGGAGCCGTTAACAGCTCCCTATAATCACAGAGAGATGGAATTACACAAAGTGCCTGACTGTCTGAGAAGAATTCAAACCAGCCATCTCCGGGCACCTCTGCAGGCCCCCATGGGCGTGTGCACATTCAAATAACCTGATCCGGGTGGTGCTCAGAGGAGGCTGAGGAGTTTTCACTTTAAGGAGATTGGAGGGGTGGGCACGGTGTTTACATAGCAGGCACTGTGCTAGATGCTTTCTCCATTGTGTCTCACTGAGGGGGTCACGGCAATCTTGAAAGGTTGGGATTGCCCCCATTTTACAGACGAGGCGGTTGAGGCTCAAAGAGAATGCATGGCCTGGCCAAGGTCAACAGAGCAAACAAGCGAGAGAGCTGGCATAGGAACAATGTCCGCCTGACTTCAAAATCCACTCCCACAGCCTTCTGAGTTTGGGTGGAGGGGAGAACAGCTAAGCAATTCTCCCCTCCTCATGAGGGAGAAGGAGAAAAATCTTCTAGTTACCACCTCCTTGGTTCTGCACTGCATAATTCATGAAGGCCCGCATAAAACCCAGGACTCCCAGACATACATCAAGGGCAAGGAGAGGCCTACAGGCCGGGCAAAGAAGGAGCTAGGGTTGGTCTATCCATCAAAATGGTACTTTTTCCCGGCAATCGTCGGAGGCGCCCTCAGCAGAAGTGGTCAGAACGGAGTATCGGTAAGCATAAATCAGCAGCAGTGAACAAAATTTCCCTTCTAACTTTGGAAGGCGGGGAGAAAAAAAAAATCACTAGAACTAACAACGGCACACAAAAATCCACTCTGTGAATTGTGAACCATTAAGTCCAGGATCTGTTTTGTTCAGCACCACGGACAGCCACCACGGGACTGACTCGCAGATGTTGCAATACAGATCTGGCAAGAATCTTCCAGGCGAATTATGTTTCCTGTAACACCCAATAAAGCCACCCACGTTTGCATGGCACGGCAGGTGGCTGCCCTGGGAGCAGAGCTACCCTTGCTGCTGCCGACACATTTAGCAAACTGCTGTGAAAAGTGCAATCCAACCACGAAGGGAGTCCATTTCTCGGTTCTTCTGTGACAATGGGGAAGGGTCCTGGAGCGTCTGTGTCAAGGCAGACTAGCCGGGTGCCTGCAGACACTTGCTCTACCAACCTTTTCATTCGCTTGCTGCCGTGGGAGCCTTCCGGCACCTCCCCATGGAAGGTGGATGCCCCCCACCCGCCCCAGCGGTGCCTGGAAGACAACAAACTCCCTTTGAGTCCGCACAGTCTCCAGGCGTTCGCTGCCGATGCTCAGGGAAACGCAGTCACGACCCGGTGCCGACACCAACGGACGATGCTACAAATGGGACCTGGTGTCCGTCCTCCCTGCCTCCTGGAGGCAGCAGGTCACTTCTGTGACGGATGGAACAAGAGTGAGTGTCATATGCTGGTGACCCGGAGCCTCCCGTGCTCCAGGCTTCGCTCGCTCTATTCCCTTTGCCTGGATTTCTTTGCCACATCTTGGCAACGTGTCTCGAGTCTGGATATCTCCCTCTTCTCCATCACGCAAAACCCTGTGTGTCTTTCAAGGCCCTAATCAAACAGCCCTCCTCTGGGAGCCTTCCCCAAGGAGGCTCAATTGAGCCACGTCTGCTCTCTGGACCTCAGTTTCCAAAACTGTAAAATGGGACATCAGAAAGGAAGGTGCTTCCAACATGGCACTCAACACCTGAAACTTTGCTGAGCCTGGACTTCTGTTCGTGGCTAGAACACAAGGCTCTCTCTCTCTCTTTCACCTAGAAGTCTCCTCTGAGGAAGGTTTAGCTCCAGTGTTGCTGCCTTGGCTCCTGTAGACAGAGTCCCCCACAACCCTCTTCCCAGGGGCCTGTCTCTCCACTAGACACCTTAGGGGTGGCTCACAAGCAACCATCCAGCCCTCCTACGTTTACAAACACACCCTTGCTTAGTGGTCTCCATGGGTTGAGACTTATAGTTCAGCCTATAAAGTCTCAGACGATCAGTGAGCATCTACACTAATAAAAGAGAAAAATGCTAATTGACCCTACCTTCGCTATGCCCACAGCCAATCAGAGTGAGCATGCAAATTAACCCAACAGGCAGGAGGTTAATTTGCATATGCAGGGTGGAGCAGCGTGAAGCCTGCTATGAGGGGAAGGGGGGCAGCGGAGGGAGCTACTGGAGTGGTGCTCCTGACAGAAGCGGGGACGTGCTGGCTCCCAGGCAGCCTGGGAGCCGGAACTTACCAGTTCCCAGTGGAAGTGGGGACTGGCCGGCTCCCGGGCAGCTGGGAGTGAAGCCAGAGGCCTATTCTTGCACGAACATTGTGCAACGGGCCCCTAGTGTCATTATAATAGGTAATCTCAGAAATGTGTGTGTGTGCTTGCACGTGTATATGAGAGAGACAGAAAGAAAGAGAGAGAGAGACAGAGAGAGAGAGAAAATGTCCATTCTGAACATTAACCAAAAGGACGTCTGGCCGATATCTGGCTAATGACACTCACAGCCCCAGCCTTGTTATCTGGCTCGTCCCACCCACTGGGTTGTTTTAGTGGCAGCATCTTTTCCCTTTAAATACCCACGGCACTAAGGCCATCTCTTCAGATGGTCAAAGCCACCATCAAAACAACATAAATATTGGCAACAGGGCTTCAGTGATGGGGACGATAAACCTACCGTCACAATAAAACCTCATTACATGAACGGCCACGCCAGGCACTGGCTGTGCGGACATTCTCCAGCTGGGATCTTTCCTACGCCACCTGTGCCCTCTGCCAGCCAGGCCTTCGGGCCCACAGGGAGGCGGGCGGGGCATCCGTTTGCAGAAACCGGCCCCTTTGCGAACTGGCAGCAGGCTCACTGGACCCTACTGCAGAGCGAAGCTTGAACTGAGCTTCAAAAACACGGCGTTTGTAAAACAGAGCACATTCTCACGCAAACCACGGATGCATTTTTATAAACAACGGCCTTCGGGTGGAAGAGACCTCTCTGGGCGGGCAGACGGGCGTGAAGTTTTGTGTGGGCTAGCCAGCATTCCAGGCGGGCCTTATCGGCTCCCCCGGGGCCTACGGCCTTGTTACTTATTAAAGTGTGGTTCCTGGACCAGCAGCCGGGCATCGCTGGGGAGGCCCTTAACAATGCAGTATCCCACCCGGACCTGCTGAATCGGAATGTGCATTTTAACAAGATCCCCACAGGGTTCACCTGCACGGTCAAGTTCGGGCAGCGCTGGCCCCGGGGGTAAGGAGGACCATCCTCCGGCCTCCATCTTTTGTCAAGGCCGTTAGCTCTTTTTACAGTCTGAAGGTCACCTTTAATTAGACTGCGTGGCCTTGGGCGGGTTTACTTAAATTCATTAGCCCTCGCTTTCCTCACTATCAAATTCTCAATGGTAACATCCCTGCCCGGGAAGGTTGTAGGGGAGGTAAATGAGATGGGTTCTGCCGTGGGCTTAGCAAGGTGCCTGAAACACAGCAGATTTTGACACTAAGATATTCATTGCTATTCAACATCCATAGAGGGGACAGTAGGACGGTGTCCTCAGCTCCCGGCCTCTGCTATTCGTCCCCCTTCTTCTCTCAGGGTGGAAACTGAGAACTTTTGCAACAAGACGGAAGCACGGACAAGCGAGGAATGATCTCTCTTCACAGGAGCATTAGAGACATAGGCTCTGGAGTTGGTTTAAATTCCCTGCTGCTTATATGACCTTGAACCTCAGTTTCCTCACCTGTAAAATGGGAGTAGGTGACTCCTCGTGCCTATGTGAAGCATGAGTGTGAGAATTAGAGCTACCTATTCCATATAAGGGACTTAGGAGAGGGCGCATTGTTTGCCACTGTCATTGTCGTCATTGTCATCGTCATTGTTAGGGACAATCTGCTTTCAGAAACTCAGGAAGGACAGGCTCAGCTCAGGCTCTAGCTCAGATGAAGGAGGAAGATGGGGGCAAGTGATCCAGCAGGCAACTCAGGGCAGGAGAGAAATGGGGGAAGGGGTGGAAACATGCCAAGCAGCTGGGGCAAAGGGCTCTCTGTACGTGGTGGATGGGAGGTGAGCCTGAGCAGGACAGAGGCAGCCTTGGAGGGCAGCCGACGGCATGGGGGTGATGGGAGCCATGGGAGGTGTGGGACAGACCAATGTGAACATTAGCTGAATGCAGGCAGACAGGCAAGGGCCAGGGCCCGCTGGCCAAGGAAGGAGCTGTAGGAGGGGGAAAGGGGCTGACTCACGTACACCTGCGGGCCGACTCCTGGGCCAGCTGCAGCCGGTAGACCGAGAGGCGATTGGCGCCGCCGCACAGGCTGCCCCGCTCGCCCTTGCACTCCATGTCGCACTCGGCCTCGCTCACGTTGGCCGCCTGGATCTTGTGGCCGCAGTAGCACTCGGCGCCGAACTCCAGCCCGGCATACAGGTAACCCCTAGGGAAGGCTGCGGTCAGGCCAGGGCGGCTGCCGCCATGGAGACCCCCGGGGACCCAGCGAGGAGACCTGGGATGAGAGGACTCGGGGGACCAGGACCCCTAGGGACCACCCACTTGCCTTCATCCCCACCTGATGTCTTATACCCCATTCACCTACCCACATAGACATACCATGGCCATATTGACTGTCACCTGTATACACCTTTAACACAAGGCATGCTTCACACACACACACACACACACACACACACACACGCACTTATGCATCCACAAAGCCTTACAAGACCCTTTCTTTCTGGCCCCGTGCTCACCCTCCATCACATGCTCCCAAGGAAAAGAACACCACAGGCAGGACCCTGAGAAGCAAGGGGTCCGAAGTGAATGGAGCTTGGGACGTCGGGGCCCTACCGTTCTGCGCAGTTGTCCTGGCAACGGAAGACGGTCATCTTTTTGTAGTCGAAAAAGGACACGCCTCGCAGGGCCCGACTCTGGGTGTTGTCCAGGTAGCAGCCAATGTACTTGGCTTTGGGGAGAGGAGAAAAGTCAGACGGGGTTGGGGTGGAGGCTGAAAGGGTGAGGGGAGTAAGCAGGTGCCTTGGCCGTGTGGCCTTACGGACTTTTTGGTACCAATTCCTTCCTCTGAGCAGAAAAGCAGGCAGGAGAGACTGACAGTCATGGGCATTGGCAGAACCTGGTCCCTAAGGGCAGTGGAGTCCAAGGGGTAGAGCTGTGCGCCCTGGAGGCCAGCAGAGCAGAGGAGGGGCCTCCCCTGTGACCAGGGTTAAGGTCAACCCTGAGCTCCATTGGTGACGAGTAGGCAGAGGGAATCCAAACCAAGGCCACTCCGTAGCATCAAGCAATGAGACCCACACGGAGGCAGCTCTGAAGAGCCTGAACCTCGACAGCATGTTATCATTTCCTGGGCCAGGGCTGGGGATGCCTCCCCCACCAACACTTCGGTGCAGGCTGTGACCAACACAACGTGGTCCCTGCTCCTGAGTGCTCCCTCCCGCCGAGCTCACCACAGCCATTTCCCCAGAGCCCTGCCCAGGCGGCAGAATCCCTCCGACAGGAAGGGGAGGCCGGGGGTCTAAGACAGACCACGTCACAGGCCACTTGAGGGTGGATGAACGGCTGAGGCCATACGATCTATCAGCTTGTCTCTGCCGCTGCGGTGCACAGATCGCTGAGATGGCAGAGCTGCCCCAGCCCGGCTGTTTGTCTCAGAAGCCCGGAGACCAGTGCGGGCTGAGCCTGGGAAAATGCCCTCCCTGGGGTGTGTTTTGCTTTCCTTTTTTGCTTTTGCTTCCGTTCATCTTCTTCTCCAAGAAACGCTGCTCTCTTCAACAAGGTGATTTGTTAAAAGAGGAGCTACCCGTGACTCATTGGGATTCCTCTTATTTGCTGTCTGTGGGTAGATTCACAAACGGGAGGCAGCGGCGCATACGAGAAGGACGGCTTTGAGGTTAGTCGGATCTGGGTTCAGATCCTGACACAGCAGTGGCCTTGTGCTAGTTTATTACCCAAGCTCCCAGAGATATTATTCTCCTGCCCGAAAAGTGGGAATAAGAACAGAGGTGTTGCTGAAACCGGTTTGGCTCCGTGGATAGAGCGTCGGCCTGCGGACTGAAAGGTCCCAGGTTCGATTCCGGTCAGGGGCATGCATGTACCTTGGTTTGCGGGCACATCCCCATTGGGGGTTGTGCAAGAGGCAGCTGATCGATGATTCTCTCTCATCGATGTTTCTAACTCTCTATCCCTCTCTCTTGCTCTCTGTAAAAAAAAAAAGGACAGAGGTGTTGTGTCCCCCCGAAAAGCCATATGTTGAAGTCCTAACCTCCCCCCCCCAGCATCACAGCCTCCCCCAGGCCCCAGTGCTCACCCCTCTTACCTCGCTCCTCCTCCTTCTCCCGGACAGCCCTCCCCTTGAGGGCTCGGCTCCAGGCTCCGCCTCCATAGTCGCCCAGCTTGGCTCTCTCCATCCCATCTTTGCCCTTGAACCAGGGTCCGTGTCCGTATCTGCGGGCGAGGCTCAAGGTCTCCCCCGCGTCCCTGAAGCCTCTGCCCAGGTGCCAGTCTTCCAGGAAGGGCAGCTCGGCGCCCTCGGCTGGGGCCCCAGCAGCGGCGGCGGCGGCAGCTATGGCGGCGGCACTGGCCTGGTTCTGGGGGACGGCGGGCTGGCCCACGAAGCCGGCGTGCAGGAAGACGAGGCTCCCGGCCGTCAGGTAGAGCACCAGGAAGGTAAAGAAGCGCACGGGTTTTCGGCGGACGTACCGCTGGAACTTGAACCAGAGCTTGGCCATGGCGGGATCATTCCGGACTGGCTGGCCGGGGGGCTTGGCTGGAGGGGCCACAGGGCGGGGAAGGAGGGGGTTTCCTTTCCCAAGCTCCCCTCAAGGGTGGAACCCCTGGGGGCCTTCCGTCTTATTCCTTCTGCGAAGGCATCAGACCCAGAAGGCTTCTAGCACGTGGCTGAGGCCAAGAGAATGGAAATCAGAACTGGCCGGCCAGCCCACCCGAGGCCAAGGTGAGTGTCTCTGAGCCACAAAAGAAGTTCTGAGGTCGGGACAGCCAGGAGTGGGTCCCCTTTCCCTACATCTTGTTCTTGGCCTCCGAGAGCCCCAGAGAACTTTGAGAGGAGCGAGTGGAGAAGGGTTCCCAGGTCACCAGCAGCCCCAGTGCCCTCCTCGCCTTTCTCAGCTGCTCAGGCCGGTCGGGGCTGGATCATCTCACCGAGGCCGTTCCTGGTTTCTTTCCCAGCTGGGGACCACGCTCGGGGTGTCCGCTCCTGGAAACAGAAGCCAGCAGGCGTCCATCCGGTCAAGCATCAGGGCTCAGGGCCGCCACCTGCAACACGGCACAGACACAGGCATGAGGCCAGAGCTCGAAGGCTCTCAAGCATTTTCAATCATTGATCCATTGCCTCTGGATCGGATGCCTCCTGGGTGCATGCCGACCGGGGAACAGCAACCTTTCAGTGCATGGGATGACGCTCAACCAACTGAGCCACACCAGCCAGACCTATTGCTTTTTAAAATAAAAGTTTAGTGAGCAGCTACTATATGTAGCAGACACTGTCCTGGGTGCTGGAGATAAAGCTGTGAATGAGAAAGACCAAGTCCCTTCCCTCACAGGCTCACATTCTAGTGGGAGAGATCAGGTCCATGGTTCCTCTCTGTTACCCAAGGAAGAAAAAAAAAGGGGAGGGGGGAGGTTCATTTAGCAACTTATTCATTCACTAAGATTTACCCTGCTGTGTGCCAAGCCCTCTGTGCATATTATCTCATTCAGCCTTCCCCATGGTCCTATGGGAAAGCACTATTTCCCTATTTTATGTATGAGGAAACTGAGACCACAGAAATGGAGAGTGATGGCACTGGGATTCGAACATGGGACCATCCAAATGGAAAACCATAGCTCTTGACCATGTCCTTTCCCCACATGGTCTGGACGCCACTTGGGAATTTGGAGATGGTCCCTGAAGCAGCAGCCCATCTGCACTGCCTCCCGGTGAAGCCTGACTTCTCCAACCAGAAGGGAAAAGCTACAGGTGTAACGAGGTGCCCTCAGATGATGGTGATGAGCACAAGGGTTTTGAGGACCACTGCTTTAAGAGTAAACCTTCAGGATCTTCAACAGGAGAAAAACAGAACGTAAATTAGAAAAGAGAAAGGAAACTCCATTTGGCTGGCGTTGTTTCACATTAACACCAGCAGGGGGCCTCATCACAATCTTGGTCAAAGCATGGATTCAAGTGTCAGCCACTGGGCCATTTGAATGGTAACAGCTCCTCCTGATCCCGACAGTAGCACGGGAATTTAATTATCTGTGGTTCAAGATAGAGACGGCCAATCCCCCAAATGCCTTTCCATTCACCTAGGAACTAAGTACTGAGCACCTACTATATGAACAAAACTGCCCCCCACATCCATGCTCCTGTGGGGACAAACTATCTGCTCTCCCATAGATCCATTCATTGCTCCATCATCCTTTAATCCACCCATCAGTCCACCTTCCCATCTATCCATCAAGTCACAATCTATCTACCCATCCATCATCCATTCCTTAATCCAGCCATCAATATACCTACCCCTCCATCCATCCACCATTCATCCATCCATCCACCTACCTGAACTGTAACAACACATTCATCCATCTAACTCTCCACCTATCCACTCAGCTACCCATTCTTCCACTCATTTAAAAACACGTGTTTCTTGCCTATCTCTGTGTGCGTGGGGTGCAGAAATAAATAATTCAGAGTCCCTGCTTTCAGATAACTCAGAGCTTCCCCTGGGAAACAGCAATTTCAATAATCGCTACACTAAATCACTGTACAGATAGACAGTGATAAATCCTGTAGTAGATGTAAGTAGAAGATATAGAACAGCAATTAATATGAGTAACTCATGTTTGTTGAGCACTTACTGTGTGCCAGACCCTTGCTCTAAACACACAATAGTCTGATTTAATCCTCATAACAATTCTAGGAGGGAGGTCTGTATTGACTTTACAGACAGAGGAGAGAAATGAGGCTCAGAGAGGTTAAGTAACTTGCCCAGGGACACACAGCCAGTAAGCGTCAGCTGGGGTGTGAACCCAGGGCCAGTGGATTTCACAGGCTGTGCTCCTAACCTTGTGTCTAGACTGGTCTTGTATCCCTTTGAGAATCTGATGAAAATTACAACACATACGCACAGAAAAGAACACTTGTACATAAGCCCTTGGATTTGAGTTTATAATGTTAGGGCATTTGGGGGCCAGGGGGTGAGAAACCCTTGGAATGTGGGAGCCCAGAAAACTAAAGGTACATGCCCCTGACCGGAATCAAACCTGGGACCCTTGAGTCCATAGGCCATGCTCTATCCACTGAACCAAACCGGTTAGGGCAGTGGTCGGCAAACTCATTAGTCAACAGAGCCAAATACCAACATACAACGATGGGAATTTCTTTGGAGAGCCAAAATTTTTAAACGTAAATTTCTTCTAACGCCACTTCTTCAACATAGACTCGCCCAGGCCGTGGTATTTTGTGGAAGAGCCACACTCAAGGGGCCAAAGAGCCGCATGTGGCTCGAGAGCCACAGTTTGCTGACCACTGAGTTAGGGGACGACACACCTTCTTCAGGTCCTCCCTGATCCACAGACTGCCTCCACTTGCTCATCGCCCGTGGGAAACCCTGACGGCATTAGCATCCTCCCTGGTCACGCGCAGCTCTGAGGCCAGGGCAGGTGTCATCACCTCTGAGCTGCAGCTTTCTCTCCATCAAGTGTGTGTGTGTGTGTGGGGGGGGGCAGGGGTGACCGTAGACTCTCCCTCCGGGGGTTTGGGGAGGACCAGCCTCCATAAGAGGCTCCCTAAGGCCGAATGGAGTCCGTGCTTACAAAGAGCTGGCAACCACGGCTTCATCCCTCTTCGTTTTACATGAGGCCCCTCTGAGCCTCAGTTTCCCCATCTGTCGAGCGTGGCCGATGACGCCTGCCCGGCTCCCCTCCCAAGGCTGGCGGGAGTTTCCATGGGGACGAGGCGCAGGACCCCCTCGGCGGGAAGGGTGGCATTTGGTTACTGCAGCCCTTGTTTCCAGGCGGAGCTCCCAATGTCCAAACAGCCTATTTTTAGCACCGCAACGAACCTCTGGGCTTAAGCTGCCAAGAAAACGCCTGGAGGGCAGGGCTGCCCTGCGGGAAGGGAACACAGGAGGGGCAGCCTGCCTCGCCCGCCCTCCCTCCCCACCGAAAGGGCCACAGTGGATCTGGCTGGGAGCCCGTGAGGCTGGGCAGCAGTCTAGCCCTCCCTCCACTGGCCCCCGGACTCTACCTAAGAGCACAGGATCGGGGACCGGCTGACGACCCCCTGGTCATCCAAGCGGGGCCAGGACAGATACTGAGAAAGCGGTTTTGTGGTTTCTTCACGGTTCTAGGTAGGAAAGGCAGCTGGGGATCTAAGACACTGGGAGCCCCGGCCAGAGGTGAACTGTTAGTCTTGGTCAATGATAAAAAAATATATATATATCAGAAGTCGCTGGTGTTAACTGAGCATCTGCTATGTGCCAGGCACTGTGCTGGGCATCTTATTCCCACTGAGCCATTTAATCCTCGCGAGAACCCCATTAGTAACTAGTAACTAGTAACCTCTCGGGGTAGCTAGTAACCTTTCGGGGCCATCCCTCAGACCCTTCTCCAGCTAGATGGACCCTCCCACCCCGACCCAACTCTTTTAACAAAGTCCCTCTCCTCTTTCTTGCTCCTGGGCCAGCCACTGGGCAAGTGAAAGGAGTGATAAAATAGCCTGAGGAATACCATTGTGAATGTCCATCTTGTGGCTTTCCCTCAGGCTTGTAAGGGATCCAGAATTTTATGAACCCAGCTCACCCTGGGAAGCATTAGGCACCCTGACACAGTGTGTGGACGCTCCGTTGTGTTGTTTTGCTGGTTTGGGGGGAAGTCTTTGCAAAGCTGCAATGGGCATTTCTGTACAGACAGACCTACTTGCAGGGTCAAAACAGTGGGGCTGCCATGTCTGAGATTCCACGTGTGTGTGTGTGTGTGTGTGTGTGTGTGTGTGTGTATGTGTGTGTGTGTGTGCACCCTCACGCAGCTCCACGCACCTCCTAGGAAGAGTCCCCAAGACCCCCCACACTGCCTCGTCTGAGATCCTCGGCGGAGGACTCGCCAGCCACCACCTGGCAATCACTGCGCGCCATCTATATTCATTTCCGTTCCTCCTTCCAAAACTCGGGAAAATAGATGAGAAGGCAAAGTGCCATTAGCTAAATGGCCTTTAACACCCAGCCATCTGCCGTGATGTAATTAAATAAAAAAATCAGAGGGAGCATATGGTGCCCATTATAAATAAATATTAAAATTTTGTTTCCCTGGGTAATGACTCCAGTGCCTCTGGCTCAAACTTTACGGCCACTGTCACTTACTGCGGGGAATCAGGCCGGGCCGCAGAGAGCGGGTGGGACAGGCAGGAAGTGACATAGGAAGCAGCCAGATCCAGTGTTAGACATTCCTGGTCTGCGCCTGCCTCAGCCACCTGGTGGCTGTGAGGCCTTCAGCAGGTGGCCTCGCTGAGATTCTGTTTCCTCACCTGCCAAACAGGACCAACCCGCCCTGCTGCATCAGGGAGCTAGCAAGCTGAAATGAGCTCATATCCTTAAAATGCATGAACACAGTCATACATACTTACCATATGTGCTAGTATTTATTGAGCACCTACTATATGTCAGGCACTGTCCTAGAAATTAACTTATTTTTTTTAATTGATTTTTTTTTTACAGAGAGGAAAGGAGAGGGATAG